AATAAGTCAGTGTTATGTTTACAGCTTGTTCCTCTTCCCCCAACTGGCCCATAAATCAATAAATGCTGCTTTAAAGACTTATGTGTAATATAAGCTTTGATTTCATGGTCTGAGTGTTAGTTATTTAATATAATGAATACTGAAACACGGATCCATCCAGCTTTGGAGTTAGAGGGTGTGTTTTCTCACTTCCGTGATTAGGCAAACTTTTCGCTTCAACATGCTGCAGTTTCTTACTGTGACACAGCATCAACTCTTCACTGGAAGCATGAAATCAGCACATCTTCACACTGGGTCGGTCGACTAAAGAGTTCATTTTCCACAAATGCAGGTGTGTCCCTTTAAAAAAGCCTGTGCTAGCTGTTGGTGTCTTTCTCCTCTAATGGATGTGCAGCAGATTTTGTAGCAGCAGTGAGCGAGCAGTAGCGGTGCTTGGCTGGTAGATGGACCGGAACTGTCTGTCTGTGTGACAGAGCTGCTGCAGGCAGGCCTCCAACTCTCCACTATAAACCTTATGTGTCTCCAACACCTGGCACTACCCACACTGGCTGTCTGTTTGATGTGTGTGTGTGTGTGTGTGTGTGTGTGTTTGCATGTTTTGAGTCTGTCTTTAGCCATGTTGGACTGAGAGTGACTAATCCTCGCTAACAGATCCCTCTGAAGCAACCAGACGATCCAAAAGCCAAAATGCTATTAACCGCTGCATGACCAAGGTGAAATGCTCTCTTCCTGTGTTTTACATGTTAAATTTTTTTTCTCTCCCGGCTCCCACAGAGACCGCTGTCAAGAGTAAACTCTGAGAGAGTGGATTTGGTTGCTGTGGATACGCACCGCTACGCTCAACATTTCAGAAGATTCCTCCTCCTCATCCTCGCTGCCATCACAGATCAAGACCCTTCTTCAGCAGGAAGATAACTCCTAAATGGATGATTGCTTTTTTGAAGTGCACACTCGCTCTTGTGCAGATGTTGATTAGTTTCTCTGTTTTTGCCACTAATGGTTGAGGTTAAGAGGGGTGCTGTGATAAAGGTGTGAAATTATATTGATAATTCTTGTGAAAAATAGACTGTGTGTACCTTAAGCTGCACTCTAACTTGACCTTTATTGTCTGTGATCAGTGGTAGCTTTGCATCAAGCTTACAGCCCCATATGAGTTATGTGTCCTGTGCTCTTTGAATACTGGGATTCCAGTATGTGTGCATGTGAGACAATGACAAAAGCTTATTAAAACAAATCACACAGGCTCCTGGTGTGTATGAATTGATTATTTCTGAGGATGCGATACGAGTCGGTGAGCTGTGGCGTCATGAGGGAACACTTACATGAATATTTCCTTCTTAGTTTTCTCTTGTCTGTGTGAAGGAGTCAGAAAAATGGGGCTATGTTTATCCATCAGCAGTGGTGGAAAGCAGATTTTTTTCAAGTACTGTACATTTCTGAGGTAGTGTGAGTATTTCTATTTTATATTACTAAATTTCTACTTCACTACATTTCAAGAAAAAATATTAGGAAGGAAAATATTGTACTTTTTGGTGCACTAGTGTTTATTTAAACCCTATTGGAACTAGTTTTACACGCAAAATATATCTTGCTTCTATATTACCGGTACGATGATTTGTCAGATTAAACTACACAGCGATATATAAAGAATTGGCAATATTAGCATCAATAAGGCTTGGTCATACTGTTTAAATCAGTATCATACTATTTGTAGTGTCTGTAGTGTTTTTCCAATAATAATATACAAAATATACAAAATGTATGCAAAATATGAAATAAACAATTTGATTAACAGTGTAATTCACTGTTATGCATGGTAACTAGAACTGGTAATGAATAGACAAAGATATGATGTACAGTGATAACATATTACTGAGGGGTCATTCAGCAACATAAGCACTGCAATACAATGCTGATCAAGTTGATACAGCAAACAGTTGTGTATCCAGCAGCTACAGAGCCACATTATCATTAATGCTGCATTCACATGGATTCAGGTATACAGTAGAGACCAGACAGACAGACAGCACCGTCCTGCTCTCATCCACTAACATATCACCCCATTTGCTGTCTACTGTTTGCCTGAATCCTTATGAATGCAGAGTCAGTGGTCTCCACCGGCTCCTGGGGGAAATATATGCTTTAACTGTGTCTGTCTGCTGTTTGGTGCTGAGCAGGTAGTGTACTGTAGGTTTCTAAAGCCTTTTCACTGAGAACAGCTGCCTGCTATGGCTATAAACAACACTATGAGAGTGAACCGAGACAGTAAAGTTGCTGCTGAACAGCTAAACAATGAGTTTAACTCGCTATAAAGCTCAGTAAAGCAGAGGGAAGCTTCAGGTGATAATTCTCTGTAGGTTCATCACTACAGCCTCTTTCACAATATAATTTGATGCATTAGAACAATGTATATGCTTTTACTTAAGTGAAATTGTGAATACAGGGCCTAATACTAAGTATTAATATATTGTAGTGTTACTGCTTCTGCTGCCAGCAATATCATTTTACAGTTTTTCACTTTATAGCTTCTCTTTTTTTTGGTCGATCACAGCACCTGTTCATTTGTAACATCAATCATCAATCCTCCCCCCCTTTGCTCTTTTTTTTTCCTTTTTTGTTTCTATGCTGTCCAAATCCCATCTACCCCTGTCTGCCTGTCAGAACACACCATATGTGTATTTATGCAAGTGCCATCATGCTTCTCCCTACAGCGCATTTGCATGAGTTTTTAATTGTTTGTTGCAGGATGTAGCCGTCACGTGTCGGCGGGACGCAGACGGTGATTTGTGTGAAGCGAATTGAGTGTTTAGCGAGCCACCGTCCCGCCCCACGACTTTCATCTGCCAACAACCATCTTTATTGATTCCAAACAATCTGCCACGGTGGCGCAGACGCACAGGGAGGAGGGAGTTGTTGGGACAAAGGAAGGAGAAGGGTAGCAGGGGAAAAAATAAACTACAAAGAATATCAACAGGAAATTGGGAGAAAGCCCCCTTTTTTCTATAAAAGCTTCATCTGTCACAAAGGGGATTGTCTTTTCCTCTCCTGAGCTCTTTGATTCCCTCCCTGTCTGGGCCTCTGTTTCTTCTCCTTCCTCCTCGTGTGTATTTCTCGCTGTTTTACTCAACAGGATGGTGGAAAAAATAAACAGATGGAAGAGGGAGGGATAAAGAGACAGAGAGAGGAAGGATGTAGGAGTTCAAACTGAGAGAGGGGGAGGAAAAAAGGTGAAGGGATGAGAGGATGCAGACCCGGCGGGAGGATGGAGAGATGGAGGGAAAAGAGGGGTGGAGAGCCTGATGAACTCATCTAAAGGCGCTCTGGGTTTTTTAATAAGCAGCAGACTGTGAAGCTACTCTCCGACCAGTCACTCTGAGTAATGAGAGAGAGGGAGAGAGAGAGACAGAGGATGAGAGGATGAAAAGACAACGAGACTCATTATCCTCCGACCAATTTTCATCACTGTCCCGTCAGTAATCTCTCTCTCTCTCTCTCAGTCCACAGCTCTGTTTGAGATGACAGATGAAGACCAATTACGCTAACTGTTTCGTTAACTTGAAGGGTGATTCCCTGCCATCTTCCAGAACATACACTGATAATCCTGTTGGCCCTGGAAATTATTCGCTGCTCACGGCCCTCAAACACACCTGTGTGTGTGTAGCCTTAGTACCTTCAATAGTTAAAGGTTGTGTGTGTGAAAAGGCTGTGGAAGA